ATCGCGAAGCACTGGAGATAACTAAACTAATGCAGCGCATCGCATATTCAAATAGACAAAAAAGCATCTCAATAGTTGACGCTTATTTTAAATTATGTAATTGAATAAGTAGTTAAACTACTTATTAAGTAGTTAACTACTTATTATAAAAGTAGTTAACTATTTCCCAAAGTAGTTAACTACTTCCGAAAGTAGTTAACTACTTTCGAAAGTAGTTAACTACTTTTAAAGTAGTTAAATATCTTTAAAGTAATTGAAAAAAGTAGTTAACTACCAACTACTCATGTGAAATACTTCCAACTACAAATAAACTACTCATTTTAAAAAGTAGTTAATTACAACTACCACCTAACTTCAAAGTAGTTTAACTACTAATTAAACTACTTAGTAGTTAACTACTGCCCAGCTCTGTCCACTATTTATTTAAAGTTCCACTTCTAACACCAATGTGACGAAAGTCTAGTTTATTTAAAGTTTATTTATTTAAAAACACACTATTTACAATTTATTTCAGACGTACTATTTAATTTATGTAATATTTAGACACTAACTAACAATTCTAATTTATTTCTTACACTTTAACTTTTCAATACAATGTTCTACATTAAACTAAACTCGGCGCTGATACGCCGGCTATTTATATTAGTTCAACTCCGCTACTGGAAAATGCTAGAGGCTTCCGACAGTCGTCTCGAACATTCCATTCCAATTAGTAAACGGCACTCTCTGCCGTTCCAGCTGTTTAGTGCGTCAGCGGCAGGCATCTCGTCGTTTCTTGTTCATTCGAGAAGCGGTCCGATTGTTTCCACACGTCATTGTTGCTCCGATCACGAGTTGGTTGCGTGCGTAGACAGAGTCGGACTTAATCATTTTATAACAATATATATCCGATATATTCGATAATTTTATTTAATAAATTAAAAATGTTTTACACCATTCTGAACATCCGAAAATGTCTCAATACGCCCCTGTATAAAAGTATAATAACTAGCGATTAATATGTGTTTGTGTTAAATATTAATGTTAACAAAATAATGTTAAAATCTGTTAATTTTATAAATTATTTGTTTTTTCTTTTTAATTTGGGTTAGAATAAACGGTTTTGTTATTTAGAATATGTCTTTGTTAATATGTTTGTGTTAAAATTTAAAATATAGTTTGTGCAAGAAACAATACTGTTTTTAATTAAATAATTAAATTTTAAAACTGATATATATCATGTGATATGATATTTATATAAATATCATATTTTCGAATCCTGTGAATATCCGAATTCTTCTATATCCTGGGATATAGACGGACATTTGGTTGGATATCCATATTGAATATCCACAAAATTATGGATATCTCTGGGATTTCTTGTATTATCTGGAAGATACCCATTAGATATTTTGCTGGATAATCCATAGGATATCTTCTATATTCTGGATATAGATGGATATCCATATTAGATCCACGGAATATTTCTGATATCCTGTGAATATATTGGATATCCACAAAAGATATTCTGTGGATATCTCTGGGATTTGGTGTGTTGTCTGGGTATATAAAAAATATATTTTTTATATTCTCTTCATCATTTTATACATTAAACATTTTCTTTTGAAATTTAGTAGAATAAAAAGGACGCATTACAGGAGTGCGTTTAGAAACCACGCACAGCACGTCTGGACCCTATTCTAATGTATGTGATAAGACGCGTCGTGCGAGGTTTCTAAACGCACTCGTGACGTGACATACATCATGACAGGTGACGTAACATGCATCATGGAAGATAATAGGTCTTTTCCTTTGCATCGAAAGTGTAGCACTGAGATACATCCATACAATTTGTATAAATGGAACGATATTTTCAGAAGTGGTGTAGCTCAGTGCTACACTTTCGATGCAAAGGAAAAGACCTAATATGTGGAGACATATTATATACGGGCGACATTTGTAAACTTCAACCCATGAAACAGACTACAAGACACATTAATTTATTTTTACTCACATTTTTTTTATAAATATAATTTATTTTATTTATTTTTATTAAATTTATTTAGTTTCTTTTACTTTAATTTTATTTATATATTTATTTTTATTTACTTATATTAATTATTTTTTTATCTTTATTTTTATTTAGTTTTATTTATTATTTATATTTCTGGAACCTTAAGTGGGTACTAAACTGTCGCAATGTCGTTTTTATAGTTCATTACTAATATTGTTCATGTCAGGCAAGCCATAATAAGTTCACTTCAAAATTTATTTTACCATATAAAGGGGTCTATTCTGTAACACATCCGTTAAAATTTAAAGGCCTTTAAAAATTAAACTTTTAGTGGCCCGTTAATTTTTTTAACCAAAAATGGTATTCTGTATACACAAATTTTAGAGGCCTGTTAAAAATTATTTATTTTAACGGATTCCCTTAAAAATGGCAAGAGAACACTTGATAACATCGCATTTAAGATTTATTTAAAAACACAACCATACAAATCCTCAATTTTCAATTCAAAACCGTTAAAAATTAAAGGCAAATTTTAATATCCCTTTAAAAATTATTGTTATTTGAGGACTATTTTAAAGGAATCCGTTTAAATAATGACAGAAGTAAGTTAGTGAATACGAAAATATTTTTAAAGGCAGCCAATATTTTAACGGCCGTTAAAATATAAAGGAATTGTTACATAATAGACCCCAAAGTCGTATAATATATTGAAAATTTGTAAATTTAATTTGTCATAACTTAAAAAAAAAAACAAATGAAAAAATTATTCTTCTGAAAAGAAAGTTCATATTTTTCTAAGTAAATAATGAAAATAAAAAATCATTGTATTTTCAGCTCATATATATCTCCTTTTAACTTCTAAACACCCTAACTCTGTTATTTTTAATAATTTCAAAAAACGCTGTATATTATTTTTATGTAAAACTTTATGCTTTACAATTTTTATTGAGAACTTTTTTTATAGCACCTACCGTTTTTAAATAACCTTAAAAAACAGTTTATTTTCTTGTTTTTCGCCATTCGCCGGGGGCCTGAAAAACAAAATTTTTTCACATATCGTTTTCAAATACTCTAAAGTGATCAAAAATTCCTGTATTTCCTCCAAAATTTTAATTCAAATGTTTATTTGATTGGACTTAAGCTAAAACCACATAACTTTACTAATCATTTAATTTGTTATTTCAAGTCAGATGATGGCTTTTAAGCAGAAACTGGTTGCCTACATTTTTTCAATAAAATATTGTTTGGTAGGGATTTTTTTCTCATACCTGTTTTTTATTTGAAAATCGATTAGTTCGTTTGTATCCAATTCTATATTTTGATGGACACACATAATAAAGTTGAACCATTGATCTTCTAGCATGGTAGATATTAGGTAAGTTTAAAATGTGGTCATCTTTTTAAAAGCCCAAGAGTTGAGATTTGTTACAGAAATTGTAAATATACAAATAATTTTAAGACATTTGTAAATAATTGGAATCGCAGTTTTGGAGATGGGGACATTAAATCCATTTAGACAATGTTACTTTCCTTTATTTAAAAATCTGATGTGTCCAACACATGACTTTCCTATCTAGTTATTATAGGCATTTTCCGGTTATTTTGTACAACCTATTACAGCATCTCTATAAATGTTTAGAGGATAAACTAAATATATACATTTTACATATACATTTACCTCGAAACATTTTTCTATAGATATTCATTGAAAACGAAAATACTGAAAAATTTAAATTTAGCACTTTTCCATTACGGTCCATTTTAGAAAAATCATGTATAAACAAAAATTATAGAGATCGATATCGCAAACAACTTTTAGTTCAACAATTTTCATAAAAATCAGAATTTTGCACATTTTGTCAAATTTCTCGAATACGGACCATTTCAGGAAATTTTGACATAAAGCAAAAATTATAGATAATAATATTAGAAGTAACTTTTATTTGAACAATTTTCTTCTCCAAACATAAATAACAGATATATTCCATAAAATATAAAAACGGCCTCCCATAAAGTACCCCCCCCAGATGTTCCGACTTTGTCCAAAATCTAATCATTTTACGTCAGGCCGAAATAAACCTAAAGTTTAAAATTTAATGTTTTTTCCTTTATCCGTTTTTGAGTTTTCTTCAAATTTCGAAATTTACACATTTTCTCAAATATCTCGAATACGGTCCATTTTAGAGAAATTATGTATAGGACAAAAATTATAGAGAATTATATTATAAACAACTTTTATTTGAACAATTTTTATAAAAAATTATGTTTTTTACATTTTGTCAAATTTCTCGAATACGGACCATTTTAGGAAAATTTTGCATAAAACAAAAATTATAGATAATTATATTAGAAGTAACTTTTATTTGAAGAATTTTCTTCTCCAAACGTAAATAACAGATATATTCCATAAAATATAAAAATGACCACCTATAAAGTACCCCCCCAGATGTTCCGACACTGCCCAAAATCTAATCAGCTCATTGGACGCTGAAACAAAGCTTAAGTTTAAAATTTGGTGTTTTTCTGTGTATCGGTTCATGAGTTATGCGTTATACAGACACACACACACACACAGACATCATCGCGAAAATAGTCAAAACGGATTCAGGGGACCTCAAAACGTAAAAATCCGTCGAAAACTCGAGGTCGAAAAAAATCATGATTCCTATACTTTCCTTATATCTGTATACAGATAGGAAAGTAAAAAGGCTCTAGGGGGAGGGTGCGGGCGCACCCCCTCCCTAAATCCGCCACTGCCTATTTGCAATTTAATAACATCACTTTCATATAGGCTAAAATGTAACAAAGAGAGAATAAAAATTGTTACTACTAAAAATTTATTAAGCAATTTATTTCATTTTCCTACGAATATTCTCTTGTGCTTGTTTAATTTGATTCTGAAAATTAGCTGCTACATCTCTCATTAGAGCTTTGAACTGCTCAGGAGTCAATTTCTCATGCAACCTTCGCTCTTCTATAAAGTTTTTCCCACTGTACATAATTCTAACTACAACTTGTGCAGCCCTACGCATTGGGTACGACTCGCTTAGTTTTTGAACTAGGTGTTCATTATTTGCTAATATTCTCATTAGCAAACGAAAAACCATTTTAGGATTTTTGGCTTTCAAAAGGGTACATATAACGGTACTTTTGCAGCAGTTCTTGTTTGAGACGCAACTGCGTTTTCAATGCTTCTAAGTGATTAAGTTGTTGTTCTTTGCTAAAGTCTATACCAGGCAGCATACGAATCTAAAAAATATATAAAAATAAACTAACCTAACTTTTGAAGATAAAATATTTTCTGTATTTCCTAAAGCTTACCTCTGTCCTAGCTTGATCTAGTCTCTTCTGTAGCTCTAAAACTTTCTGCGAACAATCTTGAGAATCTCTTGTTTTCGCTGTATTGTCGTGATGGTTATCTTTATCGACGCTGAAAATTTTTAATATATTTTTGACGTAAATATTTTTAGATTTGTAACCTTACCTTTTGATAATATCGTAAACTATAGGAAGAATATCGATATTGAGTTCTTCTACGCTTAATATTTTATTATTATTTTCAGTATTTGATTCTTCCGTGTCCATTTTTTAGCATTTTTTTGTTTTATTGTTTTTTAATTCAATTTACATAGAAATGATTTCAAAACAAACTTGTCAATTTAAATAGGTGGCTCCATCTATAGAATATAGAAGTAAGAAATATCAAATGACACTAATGACAATGACAGATTTTGACCATAGGCGAGTTCGGATACACAGGGGCTGGAGCGGGACAAATTTTAGGGTGCTTTTAAATGACATTTAAGCGTGTTAAACTGTCACTAATCGGACTAAACCGAACGCTAAAAGGGTCGTTTGGAGTTAAAGGAACTTGGCAGACCGAACCCAATGCATCAGTTTATTTTAAATTTAAAGGGGAAGAGAAATAAATTTGTTGTTCATCTATTTTTTTTTTTTTTAAATTGAAGCGTCAAGATCCAGGGCTATATCAAGCTAGCGGGCACTCTGTGGCGGCACCATACAAGACTTTTGTTTTTTGTAGCTTTTTTGTTACGCTATTTGCGAATTTGCAGCTTAGCCCAGGTGCCCAGGTCCGAAAAAACAGCCGATCCGCTAACTTGAATTTCCATAGTAGCGGCACAGATTCATACCCAGCTGGTTTTTCGTAACTTTTTTGTTACGCCAGTCTCCCTTTTGTAGCTTATACTGAAACTGAGGAAAGAGCGGATCCGCTAGCTTAGCGGATATTTGTAGCGGCACCAGCTCGGACCCGACTCATTTTTTGTAACTTTTTTGTTAGCTAGCGGATCCGCACTTTTCTCAGATTCAGTATAAGCTACAAAAGGGAAACTGGCGTAACAAAAAAGCTACAAAAAAGTTACGAAAAACCAGCTGGGTCTGAATCTGTGTGGAAATTCAAGATAGCGGATACGCTGTTTTTTAGGATCTGGGATAAGCTACAAATTCACAAATAGCGTAACAAAAAAACCCACCAGAGGGTCAATTCTCGACTTGTAGAAACCTTTTCCTATAGGAATTTGTGACACTTTCCTGTAGGAAAATGTCATAAATTTTCGATGTATATAAAAATGTCAAAAATTCCTATAGGAAAATATTCCTACGAGTCGAGAATCGACCCCCTGGACTTGTATGGTGCCGCCACAGAGTGCCCGCTAGCTTGATATAGCCCAACTAAGAGACCAAATTGTTTACATTTTTATGTTGCAAATCATTATTCCCACCAGATTCTCGTTTATTGCGTCTTTGCCGGTTTTATCACTCTGTAAAAATTATTTGGAGAAATTTAGAAAAATTAAATTTGATGTATGCTTTAACTATAATTTTATATTATATTGTTAGAAGTTAAAAGAATTAACTTCAAAATTGTTGTTTTAAAATGATTTATCACCCTGTATGCTATAACACCCTGTATTGCCACTTCATAAAACACGTGTTAACATGGTTTTATAACGTTTTATGAAATATCTCGTAAACAATGTTTAAAATGTAATTAATTAAGGAACAAAATAAAGAATGTCTTTAATGGCATATTGCCTATCACTTCATAGCGTTCGGCTGGTCGAAAGTCAAGTCCCCGCTCTCTCCTGCAGGTCCTGGGGGTCTATTCTCGACTTTTATTCGCATGGGAAAATAAAATTTTGCGCATTAAAGTCGAAATTTGACGAAAGACCACGCGAAAGTCTAAGACATAACCAAAAATTATTGGATATCTTGGATTTTTAGTGAAATTGTAGTTAAAACATTTTTTTGGCGTGTTTATAGATTGATATTATTTTATTTATGTAGGTATATTATTTTTAATTCTCTTTCACTAAGAAACTGTATAAACTTATTTTCCTAAATCATTTAGAAACTGTGGGAGCTGCTAAGGGACTGGCAAATAACACAAATTGAGTGTAGTAAATTTAATAAGAGCTTTTCGAAAATTTTATTATTTTCGTTAATGAAAGAATTTCTTAGTTTCTCAAAACTTTCGTTGATCTTCCATACAAAAGCTACCTTTTCTTTTTTCAACATGAAAAGAAAAACTAAGAATAACTCGACAAGTTTTAATTATTATACGTAATCGAATATTTTCACTTATTCTCGATCATGATAGCGATTGCTCGGCACGGCACCTGCTCCAGCGCGGAGGCTCGGCAGGTAATCGGATACCCAAAAACCACAACAAATACAAATATTGCCAACAGTAAATTTTAAAATATCTTTAATGTTATTGGTTGTTTCGAAATATTTGTGAACTTAATATCAGACATACGTGAAACTACTATTTCCACGGGAATGTCTATTCCGACACGTTCGAGAATTGCATAACCTATTACCATGGGAATATAAGTAGTGGAATATTTTCTCATGAGAAAATTTTCCAATGATCTCGAGAATCGAGCCCCTGGACACTGCAACGGGCAGACGTGTGGTACCGTCGACCCCAGTGGCGGCGATATTCTAATTCGCTCACTCTAACACGTGGTACCGTCGACCCTAGTGGCGGCGATATCCTAATTCGCTGACCCTAACACGGCCAGACTGACAGGTGTTTCGTTCTCGAAACATGTATCCATTTCCACTGTGGGGTCATTTTCTGTGGAAAAAGGTAAAACGTGAATTACATGCCAAGGTCCAATATATATATACTTTCATGACCCCAAGCTTTAAGATATTGTAATCTTGAAAAACAAATCATAAATAAAATATTGCATGGAATACCCTATCTTTCAATTCGTATAATTTTCAAAAATAATTCATAAATAAAATAATCCATGCGGGTGTATGCTAACCCCATTCTTCAATTTGTAATCCTGAAAAACAATAAATATTTCATGGGAGTACGCTGGCCCCATCTTTCAATTCGTAATCCTAAAAATAATTCATAAATAAAATATTTCATGGGAGTACCCCATTTTCAAGTTGTAATCTTGAAAAATAATCCATGCGGGAGTATGCTTACCCCATTTTTAATCCTAAAACAATTCATAAATATTTCATGGGAGTATGCTGACCCCATCTTCAATTTGTAATCCTAAAAAAACAATTCATAAACATTTCATGTATGCTGACCCCATCTTTCAAGGTATATTATTCGACCTTGAGACAAAACAATACACATGGGAGTATGCTGCCCCCATCTTTCAAGGCATATTATTCGCCCTTGAGACAAAACAATACACATGGGAGTATGCTGACCCCATCTTTCAAGACATCTTATTCGCCCTTGAGACAAAACATGGGAGTATGCTGACCCCATTTTCAAGGCATATTATTCGCCCTTGAGACAAAAAAAATAACACTAAAGATGGGTGTATGCTGACCCCACCTTTCAAGGCTTATTATTCCTCCTTAATACATAAAATATAACATTAAAGATGGGTGTATGCTGACCCCACCTTTCAAGGCTTATTATTCGTCCTTAATACATAAAATATAACATTAAAGATGGGTGTATGCTGACCCCCACCTTTCAAGGCTTATTACTTCATCCTTGAGATATAAAACATAACATTAAACATGGAAGTATGCTGACTCCATGTTTCAAGGCTTATTATTTCATCCCTGCAACAATAAAAATCAAAGCAGTCAAAACAAAACATTTTCTTTACCTTCAGTTTCAAAAAATTGATAAAATCTTGCAAATCAGTCACTAATGATCACCCGCTCGGCCAAAGCCTGACTTGTTTAACATTTTTCAGAGACAAAATTTTTGTCGTCTCTATTTTTTTTTCTACTCCGTTCTACCATCTTCAGCGGAAATCTTCCATCCAAGAAAATCAATTTTTGTTTGTGAAAACATTTTCAAATATTTAGGAAAAACCCTGCTGTTTCTAAGGCTTCTAAAACTTACTCTAAATAAATCAAACCCTGTGAAACAATTTTGATAAAAGTCGACATGGCAATAAAATTATTAATTAAATTAATTTCCATAGCACAGTTGTTTACTGCAAAAACAGAAAAACTAGTAAACCACAAATTGTAGTAATTTTTATTTTAATAATCTGACATAATTGATCTCGATATTGTTCCAAGTACTTTTAATTGATTTAAACTAATTCCAAAATCCACGAAAATTATTAAAACATCCGATAACTGTCGCTTCATAATAAGTATCATTATAATCAGTAACATAAACATTAAACGTGTACCTAGACTGAGTTGGCTTGCCTGTAATTTTAACATCTGTTCCGAACTTATATTTTGAAATAAACTGTCTCAAGTTATGCCCAGAATACAAATTTCCTGTAAATTAACCCGGACTGTTCAATAAATGTTTCACACATCAGAGGGTCACTTAAGCTCGGTATTAATAAACCCATATAGGTCGATTAATGTTTATTTCCATTGCTTGCTTTGCTCTGAAGTAACAAAATTAATTTTATGTGTTTTATCTTTGAATTTTTAAGAAAACAGTTTTCAGTTACGTGACCTGCCTTAAATTAAAAAATACATTGTTTATTTTATTTAATTTTTTTTTTTTGACTAGCTAAGGCAATATCGGCATCATTATGAATGGTTGACTCTCAAATTTTTAACTCGCTTAAAATTCCGAGTGTTGAATTATTTTGGAGGAACAATTATTGTTTCTTACACATTATTATTTCTTTTTTTTATGTCCAAATACACATTTTGGAATGGTGCCTAAATATAAAATTAAATCACTAATTGTTAATTGAATTGATATCTCTAATAGTAACGGATTCTTGTACATTTCATGAATCCCGTAAACAATTAATTCAGTTAAAAAATCACTGGAATAAAGTTCAAATTTAAAATTAAACCAATCTCTTAATGTTGGAGACCAATTCTCAAACCATATTTTAGCATCACCCAATAAAAAGCGTTTAACTCTTGCCAGTATCAGCAGGTCTTACCACTCAAATTTCTCTTTATCTTTTCGAACTGCTGTATCCAAACCTTAGAATCGTCGGTATCTGACCAAAATAAGAGCAAATCAACTTGTTCTGGAGTTGTGCTGCTGTTTTTGGAACTGTGCAACATCTCTGCGAATAAATCATCCTTGATACACTTTTAGACACTTCGTTTTAAATGTAAAAACGTGAACAGGATCCACACTTCTGATGTTAGAAGTTAAAAGAATTAACTTCAAAATTTTTGTTTTAAAATTATTTATCACCCTGGATACTATAACACCCTGTATTGCCACTTCATAAAATACGTGTTAACATGGTTTTATAACGTTTTATTAAATATCTCGTAAACAATGTTTAAAATGTAATTAATTAAGGAACAAAATAAATAATGTCTTTAACGGCATATTGCCTATCACTTCATAGCGTTCGGCTGGTCGAAAGTCAAGTCCCCGCTCTCTCCTGGTCCTGGACACTGCAACGGGCAGACGTGGTACCGTCGACCCCAGTGGGGCGATATTCTAATTCGCTGATTCTAACACGTGGTACCGTCGACCCCAGTGGCGGCGATATCCTAATTCGCTGACTCTAACAATATAAATAAAAATGTTTTTAATCAAATAATTATTCTTTAAAGTTTTAATGTAAGCTAAATTTTTTATTAAAAATCAATATTAATCTAAACAAAATATTAGGGTTGCAAAGAACTCCGTAAATACGGCAACGCTGAATATCTTATTTTACGAATTTACTTTTATGAATGAAATGTAGTTTTACCATAACCAGCCGCAACGTTGCCAATCGGGTCTAACAGCTATTTCTGACAGTTTCTGTGACTTATTTATTTATTCATTTATAAAATACTATTTTTGTAAACTTTTGTGAGAAATATAAAGAATTGTGGTACATGCATGTGTAGTGTTCAATAAGGTAGATCATTTAAATCGAAATTTATCCTTTCATCGTTAAGTATTTTTAGGTTAACATATGTTGTTTTCATTTGAACCAGTGGAGTAGGGTACGTGCCTTAAGACTGTTTTGACTATACACTTTCTTGTACAAGATTTGATACAATTTCTTATAGAATTTAAATTGTATAGGATCACATAGTAAATTGTATGAAAAATGATTATCCAATCTAATTTTTCAGACAATTTACTGCAGGTTTGATAATATACAATTTAAATTGTGCAAGAAATTGTATCAAAAACTTGTGTATTCTAAAACAGTTTTTAAAGAGATATTCCTTTTATAAATTAGTAAATTATTCTTATACCAATATATAATTAATGAATAGTGGCAAAGAAAATTTAACGTAAAATGTAGAATACCATAAAAATGATTTACTTATTAGGCACCTATACATATTGTTTAATATTCTATTTAGGTTTCCGCAAGATCCTGAGAAAAGAAAACTTTGATTTTCTCTAGTAGGGATCCTTGAAAATCAACCCCTTCGTAAAAACAGAGTTGTATTCAGAACACTTTTTTCCTGAAGATGTTTTGGTACGAGCAAATAGTGCTAAATATATCAGAAAAGATGCAAACCCTAGACGGTGTGAGGGCTTTCTATTTTTGGATGACTAAGGACCAATTCCACCGTTGTGTTAAACGAAGTTTAAAATGACATTTTTACATTAACAATGTCATTTTAATCTCAGTTTAACACAACGGTGGAATCGGTCCTTATCCAATAGGTAAAAATACAAAATATTAATTTTTTGTTTACCTCTAAACATTATTTATTACCTATATGTTTGTATATGTAATGTATGTGTTTTTAGTTCTGATTCAACTGTTTTTGGAACACCACTTGCTGCAAAAAAACATTGCAGTAAGTAAGAACACTAATAACTAAGCATAAAAAAATTAAATGAAATTTTTGTTAATACAATTAAGGTATTTAATAAATTTAAAGTGTTTTTTTAAAAATTTTTACAATTTTTTACCATACCATGTTTTTTGTAATTATTATTTAAAAAATTATATATTTTTAGGACAGTGTTTTATTTATATACCCCTACCCACTTAATGTTAATTTAAAATAATTTTGGTTAACACCATACCAAGCAAATATATAGTAAATGCCAATAAACTATAAACCAATAAATATTAAAAATCGGAAAGTAACTTGAATTCTCTTGTATTTCAATTTACTTGTACTTGAATTTACCTACATGAAAAAATCATCATAATTATATTACTAAGAACCACTTATTTACGTATTTTTTGAACATACTACTCTGACAATACTGGTAGGTTTAAAACTACGCCACTGGCGAGCATATTATGGACACTGTTTACAACGTTGCCAGCCGGTCCTAAGAGATCTGTCTTTCTCTCTTCCACTCACTAACAATTTTAAAACAATAACAGTCCGCAATTGTATGGGATTTATGAATGAAACATTTGTAATGTCTTTGCACACGGGCAACAACTATTTTGATGGAATGCCTAATAAAGTTTGGATTAGCTAGGGGCTGGAACGGGACAGAAGCGGAGTTGTTTAGGGTGCTTTTAAATTACATCATTAAAACAAACAAATTATAGCAAATACTTAGGAATAATTTTAGAGAGCAAGTTGACATGGGAGAACCATACAGATCACGTATCAAATAAACTAAGTAATTTATGTTTTCTAATGCAGCAATTAAAAAACATTGTCAATATTGATGTTTTAAAATTAAAATATTTTAGTCTGGTTGAATCAGTTCTCTTAAATGGTCTGATTTTGTGGGGCTGCTCAGCTCATCTGGAGCGGGCATTGTGTACAAAAAAAGTAATAAGATGCATGGCTGGGGTTTCAAGAACAACTAGCTGCAAACAACTTTTTCATGATTATAAAATCTTAACACTTCCATCTTTGCATATATACTTACTAATACTTAATATTAGATCACACACATTTATTAAAAAGTTTGGGAACCTCTGGGTTAGATAAACGGGACAAATAGGGACAATCAAATGCCACTTCAAAATTAATTAAAAAAAAATTTTTTGCTCGAATTTTTAATTATGTCATAACTGTTTTTTGAAGGGTGAACAAATAAAAATGTTTGTTGAACAAACAAATTCCAACTTTGTTTTATAAAAAATTAGCAAATGGCGATCCTTACTTTGCAACCCTCAAAAATTCATATTTAGGTTTTAATTCAACATAAGTTTTGTTTCATTTGGGAATCAGAGATTGGGGCACAATTTACAACAGTGTTGTATATACTTAAATATAAGTAATTTTGTTAACATGACAGAAAAATACTTCTTAAATTTAAATATTAATAGTCTTTAACGTCATCAAGAAATGAAGAAATTAACTCTTGTAATACCAATTTTTTTTTTTTTTTGAGAATTGGCATCTAAATACCAAATTTATTTCACTTTAAGATATTTCTTTTGAATTCGCTTCATCTTTAACTTCATCAACAAATGCAGAATTTTACTCTTGAAATTCTGAATCTTTTATTTCACTTTTAGATATTTCTATTGAATTCGCTTCATCTTTAACTTCATCAACAAATGCAGAATTAAACTCTTGAAATTCTGAATCTTTTATTTCACTTTTAGATATTTCTATTGAATTCGCTTCATCTTTAACTTCATCAACAAATGCAGAATTTAACTCTTGAAATTCTGAATCTTTAATTTCACTTTTAAATATTTCTTTTATATTCACTTCATCATCTTCAGTAATAATTCTTGGCTTTTTAACTAATGATTCATCACTAATACTCGCTGCTTCATGATAGCTTTCTGAAGATTTATTACTAGAGTCAACTAGGATTACACTATTACTGCTTGATATGGTTGTTCCAGCACTTTCATTTTCTGCTGAAGAACTAATCTCATTTTTATGATTTACTTTCTTGTCATCATTAGATTCATCAGTACTTACTCCTGAAAGGTCTACAAAACATTCCATAAAAACTGATTCTTGACTTAAGCATTGATTAGGTTGCAGAACATCTGTTGATGATGATGGTGTGTTAAGTGAAACTGAAATAGGCTGACATATTTTTTCTAAAATATTTAATCCTGTTTTACAAAATGTAGCTATGTCGCTATTACTATTGGAAGAATAAATATTAAGGATATTAATAGAGAGAGAAACAGATGGTAAATTTTTCAATGTATCTTGTTCATACAATGCAACTAACAGCTTAAGGAGATTCAACTGGCATTTGTGGTTCCTATAAGGATGTGGAATCTCAGAAGTAATGATATCATTCAATATTGTGAAGATTAAAGTATAAATATTCTGGGTAGTTCTCGTTTCTAACTGGACGAAACCAGACTGAAACAAAGTTGTTAAAGTATTTAGTGCTAGTTGACATCGTATTTCCTCTCTTTCTTTCATGTGTTCTCCTTTATCAACAATGGAATGTCTGCTAGGTATCGAGCTATGTTCAGCTATATTTCTCTGGGTAGTATCTTCCTTTTTTGTAACTGCTTGTATTTTTAAACTAACCAAAGTGTTTAGTGGTGAAATGTCTTTTAGGATACAAGCTATTAATTGTTCTTGAAAATAGGAATTTAATCCACTCCTACAGGTACTGATCCAGCATTTTAAAGTTACATAAATAGTTTCTTGATAGTACACATCTAAATCAAAACACTTGCAGTTTTGACATTTTTTAAGGCAATCTATTAGAATTTTACTAATAATAAATGAAAATGGGAACGAATGGTTCTGTAACCATGTAATAAAAACTCTCAGTAAGCGTATTAACTGTACTTGGATACTATTCAGATTTAAACAAAACTGGTAATCTTCTTTAGAATTATGATTACAATGATGTGGAACTGTTCCTCGACTAATTACATTTAGTATGTCCATAGGCCTTATATCTTTACAAACTGGAAAACCATTTTTTATCATTACTGTTATGAATATTAATATATTTTTAATTCGTTGGGCAATTACTGTGATTATAATCTGAGTGTCAAACAGCTGGTTATTAAAATGAAAGCCGCCACGATAAGGTACATCTATACTGTCTATATCGCTAATATCAACCCTATTTTCAAAAAAGTGATCAAGTAAATTGTGAAATGTTGTACATAACTTTTGTAAAGATTCTTGAAAATGTTTTCTATGATGAAGACCTTCATTTCCTGCATTTCCCACTTGTTGTAATAATAAAAAAGCTACTGCAGCTTTTTCAACAATAGCTGTCGAAGAATTTTCCAAAAAAGAAATTATATATGTTTCAATCAGAAGTTTGTCACTTGGAAACCAACTTCCAAATCTCTTCATGCTTACTGCAAGAACATCTAGTGCAGCTAACACTTCATAGGAATTATTGATTTGTTTAAGGCATAAATCAACTACTTTTGATAAACAGTCCGAAACTATCTTCTTCGATACGTCATTGTTATTATATGATATTTCAAAAAGTTTGCTAATTAACAATAGTTTAGTCTCTGTAAAGTTTTCATTTTCACTTGATTCTTTTAAGCAAAAGTCTAGCCAAAGAATTATATAATCACTAATCATATCAATTGTACAATAATTGAGAAGAGAATTTAATGATTCTAAACCTTTCGTAGTGGTTTTCGATGAAGATAAAAGTTCATTTACAGCTCTTAAATGTTCTTCAGTAGGTCCATTTAATAAGATTAAATTGAAAAGATTCGGATCAATATCACTCACAATGTCATTATCGTTTAAAATTTCAGAAGACATTTTGAGTTTCACTTTTCACATATAAAGTTTTTTCACTAAATTATAAGACGATACCGAAATGTAGTACTGTGATATAGGTATATCGTGGACGGTTTATATTTGTGTGATAAACAAAATACTCTTATATTATTTGCAAACACACGTATTCATTTACTAGAGTCTAGAGCACAGAACACTTACCCTGGTCTAGAGTGAATAATAATTATAAACCATAGATAAATTAATAAATTTTCGTAATTTATCTTTGCCGCTAACGCTAACAGATTGAACAGATTACGATCTGTCTTCTGTCACACTTCTTCTTCTTTTTTTTTTGGGCTATATCCTACAGGACAATTTACCCAGCTATCAAAACAGGTGAGTTTCGGGGCTATATCAAGATCAAGCTAGCGGGCACTCTGTGGCGGCACCATACAAGACCTGGTGGGTTTTTTGTAGCTTTTTTGTTACGCTATTTGCGAATTTGTAGCTTATCCCAGGTCTAAAAAAAAGCGGATCCGCTAGCTTGAGTTTCCATAGTAGCGGCACAGATTCAGACCCAGCTGGTTTTTCGTAACTTTTTTGTTACGCCAGTCTCCCTTTTGTAGCTCGTACTGAACCTGAGAAAAGCGCGGATCCGCTAGCTTAGCGGATATTTGTAGCGGCACCAGCTCTGACCCGGCTCAATTTTTATAACTTTTTTGTAGCTTTTTTGTTACGCCTGTCTCGATTTTGTTGCGAAGCCCTAACGTGATTAATAATCGTTCCTCCATGAGCGTGAGGGAAATGTGCGTTAATTTAAAATCAATTTTCGGCTTCTACAAGTAATAGGTGCAACTAGATAGTGTAACCATGGAGGAAGGATTCAGTACAAGCTACAAAAGGGAGACAGGCGTAACAAAAAAGCTACAAAAAAGTTAGGAAAACCAGCTGGGTCTGAATCTGTACCGCTACTATGGAAATTCAAGCTAGCGGATCCGCTGTTTTTTCGGACCTGGGTTAAGCTACAAATTCGCAAATAACGTAACAAAAAAGCTACAAAAACCCACCAGGTCTTGTATGGTGCCGCCACAGAGTGCCCGCTAGCGTGATAAAGCCAATATCCAGATAAGATCCTCATTAACAAGATATTTCTAATTAAGGGTGAGATTACAGAACGTCTGCAACTTTGCAGATCTGCAAATATGGCGGACTTACAAATGCAAGTATTCCAAAAAATATCTGCAAATTCGCAATATTTATTGTGGTTTATTACCCCCAATAACACTAAACCTAAATTTGGAATACGAAAACTTGATACTTGCATGTGTCAGTCATATTTGCAGATTTTCAAAGTTGCCGCCATATTTGCAGATCTGCAAAGTTGCAGACGATCTGCTGTAATCTCACCCTAAATTAGGAACTCAAATAGGCGAGTTCGGATAGTCAGGGGCTGGAGCGGGACAAATTTTAGAGTGCTTTTAAATGACATAAGCGTGTTAAACTGTCACTAATAATCGGACTAAACACTAAACCGAACGCTAAAAGGGTCCTTTGGAGTTAAAAGTGTTAAAGGAGTTAAAGGAACTTGGCAGACCGAACGCAATGACTAACGGCAGTGGCAATTGACAAATGACTTGATGTTGATAGATGTCAGAATATAGTTGACATTTTTCTTTGTCAAAATAAAATTTTCATATATTTTTAAACAATGAAATATTAAATCTGTTTTTTACCTTATTTAAATACATAAATTAAAAATAATGGGTGCCCTACTAACTACAAGACAACACGACGGAGTCGAGGAAGTGGATATTGCTTCAAATCATTCGTACAAGTACCCACCCAGATCTGGTTGGTTATCTCATTTATTTATTAAAACAATTTTATTTGTAAATGTATTTTAGGTAATTATTTTGGAAGTCATTTTATAATGGGTGGAGAACGTTTTGATACTCCGCAGCCAGAATCTTATTTATTTGGTGAAAATACAGATTTGAATTTCCTTGGAAGTAGACCAACACCAGTAAGTACTAGTTTTTCAGGTTTTTACTTGGTAATTAGCATATAATTGTAATTAGTACCTACCTATAACTTGTTTTGTTTAATTTTGTTTTTAGTTTCCTTACCCTCCGCCACAGCCTAACGAACCTACAAAAACCTTAAAATGTTTGGTAAATATAAGAAAAGAATCCTTGAGATTTGTACGAACAAGTAATGACTACAGCAAATTAAATGTAGACAAATGTGAGTACAGGGACGTTGAATTGGGTACTAACACATCATTTAACATTGAATTCACATTTGATTGTGATGTTAGATGTGCAATTACTGTCTACTATTTTTGTTCTGAGGACTTCACCCCCAGTGGTGTGACGTGAGTACTTATTTTTATTCTAACATAGTGACAAATATTTACATTATTCATTTGAATAAGTATTAATTTTTGTTTTGTTTATCAATAATAATAATAAAAAACTTCTTGCTGTTTGATATTGTTTACACATTTTTAATAGTAAAAATACTTGTTTAACTAGGAAAATAATTAACAGATTTATTGCTATGGCTAGTATTTCATTGAAATTAGCCAAGGAAGTAAACCTGTTTATCTATGTGAAACATATAATTTCTTCTTCTATTGTAGGTAGGTACTTTTATTTATCTAAACTGTAATATTTGAAATAATGTCACATTTTCTAATGTTTAATTATACTGTATGTATCAAAGATTTGTTAATGCTAATGTAATTTTAAATATCCATAACAAAAGTGCTAGGGCAAATGAATAAATATTTATATTGTTGTTAAGCAAATTCTTAAAATGTTTTGCCTGATTGTGACACAAATAATAATAATTATGTGTATATAGGTATATTTATTTTACTTAAAATCCATTTTTTACATACATACATTGTTCCTATTCGCAAACCAGCGATCTCCATTGCTTCTGTGTCTTAGTATGTTTATTTATTTTACACATTGCTAAAACTTCTTTATATTTCTGCCAAATAAACATTATAATAAGTCAAAGGGTGAACTATTGGGTAAAATGTTGTACACATAGTGTCCAATAGTACATAAACAGTTCACATATTTCAGATAGATTGATGATCTAAAAAGGTTTTTTTGTGTATTCTTCAGTTAAAAATTATTTTTTCTCTGGGTCAACATCACTGCATTGTTGGCAACCCTACACAAATAGTGCAGATTCTTAATACACCAGCAGTTTATTGATATGTCATGCATTGTTTTACCTCTGGAGTTATGTATTAGGCCTAGGCAATCAAATGTCTAGGCATTAAATGTTTAATTCCTATTATAGGTGAATATCACTGAATGATCCATTAATAATTAATATTATTTGCATACAACTATGTTAAATGTGTTTTTACAAACCTGTTAAATAAAAAATGTTGAATATTTCAAGGTTAATTACTCAGTTTCATTTACATCACTGCTGGATGTGTCATGTCAGTATATTTTATTTTATACTATGTAAATAACACTAAATTTCTACATAAAATGAAATATTAAATGTTACTTAAATATTTTATTAAGGAGAAAATAGTGAATGATTCATTAATTTGAAGATTCTATTATTAATTTAATTGAAATTTTTTATATATTACATTAAGAATGGGACACAGAAAAACTGAAGGTTTTCTGGTTAAAAATAAAACGATTAAATGAAATATGCTTGAGTAAAATGTTACTCGTTTCCAAAATACATTGTGTTAAAGTTTGAAAATTCATAAAATATTAATGCTGTCATTAGATACTTCTATCAGCAAAAAAAAATCAGTTAAATTAACCTTGCCAGTGACGTTCGGCATGGGTAAGTAACACATTCATGCCTTCTAAAATTTACACCACTGTCTAAAAATTTATTTGGACTATAATTTTAAATTTTTTGATGTTTCTTGTACTCTTGTTTGAAATTTATAAATAATCCAAAATTACAAAATTGTAGTGTGAATATCTCGAAAATCAATCAATTTATGAGTTCCCAAGAAGAGTACATGATTTATTAAAAAAAAAAAACATATCAAATAATTGAAAATTATAGTCCAAATAAGTTTTTGGACAGTATCATAAAATTTAGAGGGGATGAAGGTGTTACTTATTCATGCTGTGCACCACTGGAAAAGTTTATTTAACTGATTTGTTTGCCGATAGATGAAATATTTGCCGAATTTAGTAAAATTATACTGAGAAATAAAAAAATTATAGCCATAATAAATAATTTTTGAATTTTCAACTTTAACACCCCTTATTTAATTTAATCATTTTATTTTCATTCAGAGAATATTCAGTTGTTTCTGTGTCCCTCTCTTAAGGAGAAAGATTAAGAAATTATTGATTTCTGTAACATCATTTGTTGATTAAAAATATTTATCCAATACTATCTTACATTTATAATTTTGTTTCTTAATTAATAACATGCATTACTCAGGACGGGAGTGATTATTCATCAAACTCTTCTTATATTTCATATCAGTGCTCACATCCTACTATCCATTTGCTTTCAGTGTATTTTGCATGACAAGACTCAGTAATGTAGTGACAACAATCCTCAGTGAGCTGGCAAGAAGCTGAAGTTCAAAACTTCATACAGATAAACATTGATTTATAAATCACCTAATTTCTAACTGTAATAATTTAAATAAAACTATAATTTACCTGTATAGGTTCAAATAACCTAAAATAATTGATTTATAAATTTCCATGGATAGATTTTAGCTGTAGTTACATATTTAAAGATAACTACAATTTACACTAATTCAAAATAATCTAAAATATAATTGAGCCTAAAACTTCTTACTAATAAATATTGATTTAGAAATCCTCCAATTTGAATCTGTCATTTAGAATTCCCAACAAGAGTTCATAATGTAGATAGTGGTGTAAAACTTAGAGAAATAAAGGTAAACCACGAATTTCTACAATTATTAAGTCTCCCTTAGATCATACAATTAGGATTTTTGTACTATTTGCAAATTAATCTTTTGAAACAATGATAATGTTGGTAAAATTCATTATTTAATTATCATCAAGGAGAAAATTAAAACAAAAAACACAATATTTGTATATAATTTGATTATTTTTCCCATCCGTTAGAAATGGGTTTTTAAATAGTGCTGTAACTGCAGTTATGAAAAGAATATGTTACATTTTTTTTTATTTTATCAATAACTTAATTTAGTTTTTGAGAAAAAACGGACCTAAAGGTACAATTCTGAAGCACATGGCAAGTACAGTTGCTGTCTGCCATTGACACGACTGCAGTTGACACAACTTTGCACTATTATTAATTGTACTTTTCTTTCAAGAAGATACAAACAACTCGAGAAAAGACTGTTTTTCCTCTTGCTCTTGAGATATTTCTAAACATAATCACAAACTAAAAGGTGTCGAAATTCCAAAAAAAAAAAGTGAACATTATATCTGAACAAAACTATTGAACTGTTTTATTTAAAATCTGTTTTCATAGAATTACTTATTTTTAATAGTTCTTTTAATTTTTAAATAAAAAAAAAGATCCTGAATAAGCCCATTTTAGTTTAATAAAAAATGGAATAAAAACGAAGATTCTATTACAGATACGTTCCAAGAGATCCAGCTGTCACCTCAGAAACATTCCACTTCAGCCGAGGTTCCAACCAACAATTCTGCCAGCCTGCCCATGTGTTCAACCCAGCCAGGTACAATGAAGAGGATCTTGTCTTTGATGTCGACAGAGAACTTATTCCCATAGCAATACACTGTGTGACAGAAGAGGGTCCAGATGAAATGCGACAATCACATACGACAATTGCTACAGTAGAAAAAATCACTGACGGGACGTATTTACTGAAAGCTTTGAAACAGAAATTATTCGTCGATGGACTATGTTATTTATTGCAGGAAATTTATGGAATTGAAAATAAAAATAATGACAAGGTGTTTATTTTTCTTTATTATATAGATATTACAATTATATTTTAACAGATCGTTCTTTTTCTTGGGCCTCATTAGGTCAGAGTAGACTAACCTATACTGAAGAATGATGGACCAGTCATGTTATACATTTAGAAGTATTATGATCATAATATATTTCCTTAAAATGATAAAAAAATTATAAATCAAAATCCTTTGTATAGAGATTGTCCGAAAGATGATATATGAAATCAAAGTTTATGTCTTTTGTGTAGGACCTACACTATGAGAAACAAAAAGATGTTTCGTCTATAAAAATTACATTAATTGTTATATTCCTCAATATTTTTAAAAATTAATTGTAACTGCACTAGACGATGGAAAAATATTTTCCAAAACATATGCTATTTAAATAAAAACTTTAATTAACTGACGATATCAAAATTTTATTTGTTTTTGAAATATTCTGCTAAGGTCAGGAAATTGTCCTCTTTCTACAAAGTTATGTCATATTTTGTCTATTTGTTTTTTATATTTAGGCCCATTCATTACTAAAATACGGGCTTCTAAATTTGAATGTTACAAAATTAAATTTGGTATGAACAATTTGAATCACGACAACAAAATTTGGATAGGATTTAAAAAAGTGAATTTACCGTCTTGAAAGCCAGGAACGAACTGTCCCCTATGGCTAATATCCTAACTTATATTTTTAACTGATTCTATATTTTTAGGCTAGTGGAGATGACGACACCGAAGACAATGGGTCAGAATGTGTCATTTGCATGTGTGACGTCAGAGACACTCTAATCTTACCCTGTCGGCATTTGTGTCTCTGTAATTCTTGTGCAGACGCGTTGAGGTACCAAACTAACTACTGTCCAATCTGCAGGGCACCTTTTAGGGCTCTCTTGCAAATAAGAGCGTTGCAGAAATGTTCTACATCAAATCTGGCTGCCATCAGTCCTCCAGATGTTAGTATTCCTCATATTTTTTTGACCATGTTTATAAGGAAAACGACCTTAATTATTGAAATTATAGGCTAGCTGTGACACCATTCCACCAGGCTATGAAGCTGTCTCTCTAATAGAAGCCTTAAATGGCCCTTGCATTCCTCGCCAGCCCCCTTCTGCAGCTATGCCAGATTTGGTAGAAACCCCAGAAAATGAACATGCGATCCAAGCTGCACAAATATTAAATAGGTAAGAAGCCAGTTTTGTGACATAAACGTAATTTACAGTTTCTTGTTCTTTAAAAAAGCTCTTAAGACTTAAAAAAATGTTTAGATCTATAAGTGGATTATAATAATGTTTCATTGATTTTAGACAATGCGACCGTAGCACCCCAACAAAAAAGAGGGGAGGTAATATAGAGTCTCCACCAAGCCCAGATTACAGTCGTGAAATTAATATGCTTGCCACGAGACGTATAGAAGACGAAGATAGAAATAAAGACGGTAAATTACCTCTGCTAGAAAAAGAAGTAGAGAGAAGACGAAAAAGAGATGACTTAAGATTGGTTAATGAGAAAACAGAAAAAGAAGCAGTAAGTTCATAAATGATCGTTGTACAGGGTGTTTTTTAAATACATATACATGTTAGAACTGGTTAATATTTGAACTTTCCTCGAATGTGCAAACATATTTTTTTTTAATATCTGTTGCTTTTTTATTCAGTTTTAAAAATTGACTTTAAAATAGATGCCATGTCAATGTAAGTTAGTTAGAAATGTTTTACTTGTTTTAAATGGGAAATTATGCTGAGTTTTGTTCAATACCAACCGCTGCCTAGTGGGTCTGTTATTAACAATGTTGCCAAAGCTTTTTGATTTTGGTCACTTTTCTTCATCTCTATTTTCACCAATGGATGGCCAATATTTTGTCTACATTAACCATTGTAATGCTTTAAAACATTCAAATAATATATTACGTTTTTTTTTTGTATAAATAAAATATATTCAGAAAATGTGGCTTTTCTAATAAAAAAAATTGAAATTTTTAGATCATGGATGAAGACAGCGAAAATGAAAAATTATCTCCACTGCTACAGAAAATTGACAGGTTGAACAGTAAGGTTAATAATTTAGCCCTAAATATGGAAGATGTCGTTGATCCAATTGATGATCAATATACTGACCAAGAAGAACAGCAGGATATACCAGAGAAAAATAAAAATTATGGTAAGTTTGTGACTTAGTTTGTTTAGTTGTACTTTAATTATCTTTATCAAAAGGTGGTTTACTGTATTAGTATTACATTTTATTATTTCATTTTTACAGTGAGCAAAATGTAACTTAATAATAAATATGTCATTGTATTTTTATTGATACTTTTTAACTAAGATCAAACTGAACATGATAAGCAAATTTCACCTTTATCTGCCATACTCTCTACCTCTTGTGTGTTAAAAAGTTAACCTAAATAGTAAATAGAAGTTACAATTAAAATAAGTAATTTATTAAACTTATGTCTATTGTATTGCAACTATTGTACTGAAATTATTATTATTATTACTGTTTGACGACATAGAATTATCAATTTTTATTGGCATTTAACCATTTATTATTGCCGATTTTAAATTCAGGACCAACAAAACTATACTTCCATAATGTGGGAAAATATTTTAATTCTGTTGGAAGTTGGAATAAAACATAAATAGGGCGATTTAGTGTAACTATGCATCGTTTGAGAAAATAAGAGGGGATGCCATCGGAACCATGACTTAATTTATGATTTAAACTATTGTATTTAGATATCTTAGTAGAACAACCTTATGGACGGTTCATTGGAGGAAATTCTGTCACGACATCTGTTAGAACTGTACAGAAATTCATCATCAAAATGGCTCGTGTGCTAGTGCTACCTCGATCATTAAATATAGAATTCTATATACATAAAGTTTTCTTTATTTTTAAATTAATTTGGATACATTGCCAAATTTAAATTAATATTGTTATATATTCTCTAAAATGATGCTAAATCATAAATAAATGTACATTAAAAATAATAAAACGGATATACATCATTTTTAAAACAAATATTCGGTTCATACTTAATCGACTATGGATCCATCTATTAGTGAATAGAGAAATTATGTTCGTTATTTAGTTTCGACAACCGTTCAATGGTTCGGTAGAAGACGACAAAATTATCAAAGACGCGACGGAGCTTGCTGTTACAAGATAATTTGCATTGGAATTGTTCTACTAGGTTATATAAATACAATGTTTAAACTTAAAATTTAATTAAAAAAAAAAAAATTAAATATGAACTACATTTCTAATATTGTTATCTCTGTAAGTTTTATAAAATTGGACAAACAAATAAGTCAGCAATTCCTTGATTTGTATTTCCAACTTCATCATCAAGAAACCTTATATTTGGTAAAATAGATTCGCGCTTCAAATTCCTATAATAATTCCAGAAAAACTGTGGGTTATCATTAATAGAGTCATCAACGCAAGAAATATAATTACAACTCACTGTTTTAGGGAGGCGTTTACATTCAGATCTTAATACAGATAATATATTGTAATTATTAATGTTCCCAAACTTTTTAAATCTTAATGTGCATTTTTTTTATCAATAGTAAATCTTTTTAATTCTGTTGAGAACCAAATAGGAAAATTTGAGCTGTTTAGCCGTTTTAGAGGCACAAATCAGATTATTACATTTTTTAATATTTGATAAAAAATTTCAACAGCAGATTCTAGATTATCAGCTCTAAGAAATAACACTCAATTGTTAGGTGAAAAGTAATTATAAAAATAGAAATAGTCAGCATTCTTAAAATCATAAATTGAACACTTTTAAGATGATTTATAATAGGGTGGACCTTATAGTCTAAGAGCTGATGACGAATTTGGGGAAGGTATTTTAGGCAACTTGAAATTATAAAAAACGGCATTTGCGGTTATTTTGTTATTCTTCATTAAAAATAATCTTACAACTGTTTTTTTACAAATAACACAAGTCAAGGTTTTTGATTTCACTATAAATTTAAAGTGTAGGAAGTATGAACTAAAAATTACCACTGGCCTGCTATTATTTTTTAAATTTTAAATAAGTGACAATTCTGTCAAACTAATTGTCAATATATTTTTTTCCTATTAGGCATTCCAAACTGAATGGCTACCAGTGGGTTCTGACAGGTTATGATATGGCAAAATTATGGCAACCCTGTAGGCCTGGTGATTTGACAAGGTCAATAGATAGTTACATAGATTGATCATCCATATTTTTCAAAATAAACATAAGCTTATGTCTTGAAGTAAAAATGTAAGCAATTATTTTTTTTTAAATATCTAAAGGCTAAAAATTGGTTTTAAAACACATTTTTGCTAAACCGATTCAAATTAATAAATATTTGCCAGGCAATATGGCCGCTCGTAAACGACCAGCTTTGAGCAATCTATATAACTATATATGTATCATTGACCCTGTTAATGACAACATGACAACAGGATTGCCATATCTAAACTGTCATTACCCACTGGTAGCCATTTGGACAGGTCGTTGGAATGCCTAATTGATATTGATAAATATAATTAAAAATTAGTGATTATTGTGAAGAATCAATAAATAATAGGATTCCACAAGAAAGCCATTAAAATAGTTACAAATAAATCGTATATCATAATAAAACAATTTAAAACCAATAATTTAGTTATGAGTATTAAATAATAAGAATTAGTTGGCTAGTTAGTGTAGAGGGTAGAGTGCTGACTTGTCATGCAAATGGTCGGGGTTCAAATCCGAGTTTATTATATTTTATAAATTAGTAAAAGTCATTAATAATTTTTAAAATAGTTATTTTATTTTTATAATCTATAATTTAGATTTTCTTTAGTGGATCGTAGAAAAAATATACATCGTCCGTATCGCAATCAGACGATTAATAAATTTGCTGTAAGTCAAATAAGGTCAAAATTTCTTTATTGTTGAAGAATTAATTACAATATTATTAACAAATATAGATAACATAATAATATAAGAAAGTTAAAAAAATTAAAATTAAATTTAACCGATCACAGAAAAATTCATCCAATTTGTATTACGCCTTTTTGAGCAAGAATTTCTTAAATATTTTTAACGAGTCTACACTTCTTATACTAATGGGCGTGTTTAGTTAAATTCAAAAATATTTTTTTCTAAAAGCTAGCACAAAATCTAATCTAAAAAGATTTTTTTGTTTTTTTTTTCTTTTCAAATTTGCCTACAAGATTTGTTCAAGCAATTTTGAAACTTGCAACAATTTTTCTTAAACAATTATAATCGATAAGATAATAGTCGATATGTTTTTATTTACCTTGTCACTTCTTATAAAGAATTATTGAAATTCCAGATAACCGACAATGAAAGATTAAGATCGTATAATTTAACATAAAAACATATGTACTAAAACTAAATTTGTTTAAATTTTGTTTTTATGAAGCAACTTTCAATAAACATTTTCTCTAAGTCTGGCAACGTGGTTTCATCTGTTCGTCTAAATCCTAACCTCGTTTTCGACTGCGAGATTATTTTGATTTATTTTAAAATTGTCAATTTTTTAAAAATGTCCAAAGTACAAACAGGATTAAAAAAAGAATCTTTAGACAATTTAACCAAGGTGGATTCTAACATGATTGATTATTTTTTTATATAAATAATATAAAGTTTATTGGCTTTGAAATTCGCAACAGTAAGTAGACTTTCTAAGCTCCAAATCTTTCTAGAATTTTTGTATTCAAACATTTTTTTAATATACACACTCCCTATTCAATATTATTGACATTTTTCTATTCTATTGTAGGTCTACCAAGGAAGTGCACTAACATATGTTCGGTTATCATTTGTAACATTAAAGCTAGAATTACCCCAGAACACACAAAGTTTATAGCGTTATTCAGTAATAAATAAACAAAACAGAAAGGTCTTATCTTGTAAATTCACAGAATATTCTGCTTTCGAAGGTAATTCCAATTCCTGTCAATATTAAAAAGCTCAAAATACTGTTTCTACATGGTTCTATTTTTTTTTAAGGTGGGTGCGCAAATATAGTGTTGCTTTCTTGTTGTGGCTTCTGAACACCAACGAAGTGAATAACCTTCCATCACTTCCACATTGTGTTATTAGAAGAGGCCACTGTTGTCAAAAGTTTGAAAGTTCTAATGATTTGAGAGTGTTGATTCTTCTTTAAATTAAAAACATTAAATGTGTTCTTTTTATAAATAATAAGAGTAAATAAATTTATATCGAGTGAAAATCATACTTTCATATTCAACTGCAAATGTTGCTTTCTAAGAAACATAATGGGCTTTTTTGTGTGGAATCTCCAAATTTTGAAATAAATAAGGAAGTTTAAATATTAGTTTATTTTTGATGAACAAGAACTAAATGATATTCTGTATCTGTAACGTGTGGAGGATGGGTTACCCCCACGGCACTTAGGCCTCATTGGGCCCATTGTGCATCCTCCTAAGATGATAGGCACCTCCTAGCTCGTGAGCCAGCCTACAGATGTAATGAAGTTGACATCGTTGCCAAGAGGTGCTTCTCTTATATCGGCCAGTGTTAGCCGATACTCGCCGAACACAAATCTTCTAATAAATGTGAGCGTCGAGCAATCGTAAAGGATATGCTCGATGGTCTCATCTTCTTGTTCGCACCCTCTGCAGAGTGCGGATTCTGACAGCCCCATGATATGGAGATGCTTCCGTACTTGGCAATAACCAGTTAGAATGCCTGTGACTAGGCCCAGATTATGTCCAGTCATAGTCAAGTATTTGTTTGCTGCAGTGTTGTTAGGATAACTTAAGAGCTCCCAGGCAACTCTGCAGTTTCTTGTTTTATCCCATCTTTCCTTGAATTTCACAAGGGAATCTTCTTTAATTAGGTCTGTCACTACCGATTTAAGTAAGTTTTACATGTAAATTGACTACACTACTACTACTCTTTGGTTAATTGTACTGTAAAACACCATCAGCCAGAAAACCACAATTTTTATATACACCGTGTCCCACGTAAGGCGGGCATTACAACTTTATGGAGAATAAATTAATTTGTACTTTCGCCATTTTCTGAGTATACATAATCGAATATGCTCTTTTGAATTAAAATAAAATGAACTCTGTGCAACTTCCGGTTATACCGGAAGTGACCACTAACCTCGTTATTTTAAAGGGAATACCCCATATTT